ACAGTGACTTTATAAACTAGTTCAATTCAACAACAAAATCCAGGAAATCACCAAAGACAAACCCAAAAGGAAATCAAATACAAAAGCCTATCAACTTTCTAACGCTAAAATAACAAGTCGAGGCTACCTTCTCAAAATGGCAAGAGGACAAAAGTAACGGGGGACATAATTCCAAACTCGACATTAGTCTGCCACCCTCTTTACCAGGTTTTCTATTGCCGTCTTGTAATCGCCTCAGCCCGATATTTGCAAAACTTTACTATCATCTTTAGTTACTCTCGCTAGGATTTTACCAAGGAGGCATCAAGTCCTTCTCCAGTTCCCATGCTACTACCCATGTTTTAGATCCACTTTACTACCTATATGGACTAATGGTTACTTGTGAAGTTTCACTTGGTCTATTTTTTTCATCTACGACACCACTGTCCCATTAATCACCCTAAAATCACACTGTTTTCCTGTCAGCATCTCCTTATATAACTACGAGGATTCCTCACTGAATCACACCCCAGACAACTCAAGTTAACATTCCAAGTTCTCCACCAACTGGCTCTTTATTACCCCCCTCAACTCAACTAGGATCACTATTTCAACCAGTCGCTTTAGAATTCCACTAAACCACCATGATAATTCTCTTTTCTCTACTTTTACCCATACTGTCTGCCTAGGATAATTTGAATCCCTGCCATTCTGAATCCTTATCTACTCATGTGTAGAAATGTCATCCAAGGCAATGAATTTACGTGTAATCTGACTTTGTGTCATGTCAACTGACCCCTAAATAATTATCTGATTTCAATTATGTTTATCTAGTTCTAGTCCTGCAGTCTGGACGGAAACTTTTTGAGGGTTAAGAATCGCACTTTCATTTCTTTCGAATACTCACCTAGAACAATACACAGCTACCTGGAATCATAGAATTGTTTCTTGAAGAAATTATCTAACACAGCACCATCATTTTAAAAGTAAGAAAAAAACTAATTCAAGGATACACAATTCTTTAATGGCAAGATAAAACCCCGAAGCCAGGCCACAATGTATAATGTAATGTTAACATTTAGTAAGTGCTTGCTAAACGAACTCCAAGGTACAAAAATTGTTCTGTAAGCCCGCGTTCAGCAACATTACACTGCAATTTAAAAGACAGTCTGTGCCTTACCAAAGCAGAAACGGTCTATTATACTGTATTTTCCACAAGTCAAGAAGACAATCAATGAGTAAAAACTCATATGTTTTTACAAAAGACCAGCAAATTTGAAATTCCAGTTTTCTCCTTAGTCCTTGAAATATTCATACATAAAATGACCTTGCTGTGTTTAAACAAAAATACCCTAAAAATAAGATCTGGGTAGCCCATGGGTGCAACAGAGTAGAGAACAATCTGAAATTATACTAGTAAACCAGGATCCTTAATGAGGACGAAACCAGCATTACTAGAAATGCCTTGATTCTTCAGGTAGAACCTTTTATTTCCCCTTTTACGTATTCATATGGGAATAGATAATTAGACTATTTGATCCCAATAGTTCTGATCCCTAGATTGCTCCTAAGAATCAAACTCTACCTACTTCTACGTGGCAAAAAGTGGAGAATTAAGATAATTAAATCACATCACTGCTGCATGACTTGCTATATAAAATTATGCTCTCCTGCTTCCGCTCAGTGAGTACATTCCAACCTCATATTCTCCCCAGAAGCCAAGAAGGTTGAACATAAAGCACATTTATAATGATATCATCAGCCATTTGCTATACATTAGTGCAGCAAATACATTAAATTTATCTTGCCTCATTATTGGTTAGATGTCTTTAAGGATTCAGATTTTCACTAATTCTTGTCTACAACATTAGATATCAGCTGTAACTTTCTCATCTAGTTGTTTGTTTGTTTTTTTTAACCTCAAAGTAGATAAACTTAGTACAGTCCTCCAACATTTAGGAAGACATTCTATTGGTCAAATCAGACATGCATTTCAAATTCTAACAGCCCAATCCTACTGAAAACACCTCCTACTTTCTGTTCCACAGTTAAATGAAAGAAAAGATTTTATCTAGAACTATATCGCTGCTCTAAAGATACCTTTTAGGACAAATGTATTACAGGCTACAAGAGTCTAACATGAGAAGAAAATTTTAAAGAAGCGGTAAGAGAAACCAATTGCAGGGGCCAGCCCGGGGGCGCACACGGTTAAGTGCGCGTGCTCCGCTGCGGTGGCCCAGGGTTCGCCGGCCCGGGCACGCACCAACGCACTGCTTGTCAAGCCATGCTGTGGTGGCGTCCCATATAAAGTAGAGGAAGATGGGCACAGATGTTAGCTCAGGGCCAGTCTTCCTCAGCAAAAAGAGGAGGACTGGCAGATGTTAGCTCAGGGCTGATCTTCCTCACAAAAACAAAAAAAAAAAGAAGAAACCAATTGCAATAGCAAAAAACATAAAAGAGCAAGAACAAAAGAACAGACTTGTAATAAGTCTGGATGTTAAACCCATACAGAGCTATGAAATTAGAAACTATAAATTTTAGCTGTCTAGCTTTCAAAATAACAAAGAACAGAGAAACTAACATATATCTTAAATCACATATGTGGAAATTAGATAAAAATAAAAAGGTCTTAGTCATTTTCTATAAATCAAAGCCGTAATAAATAAAGCTTATAAGCTTATCTGCCACTTAAACCCAACAGAAGGAATGACGAGGTGGCATTACTGGTAGGCAAACCAATTTAGCACTCTGGAATGTTCACATAAATCTTATAAAAAGGGAAAGTAGAAATACATGTGGTAAACAGTCTTCCTGACTTCTAAATACAGTAAGAGAGGTTCTAAAAAACAATTTAGACTATAATTATAAACCATAATTACAGGTTCACTTTCATTCATATAGTATTTAACTGTAAAAAAAATATGTATAAGCAAAAATCATATACAAGTGATGATTTTTGAACACCCGGAACTAGCTTTTATTTGGCAATTAGCATTAGGTCTAACATTTTAACTCCTTTCTCTGTGTCAACTTGCTAATTATTCAAATACATTAGGGGTAAAAGTCTTGTCTAAGGAAAATATTGGGTTTTACAAAATCAGCCTAGCTGGTGGTACTCACTTACATTAAATCATAAAAGGAGCAGATTGGCTGTTAAAAGACAAAAAAAAAAGTTATGTACCATAAGAAAATTGAGACTACGCTGGGAAAATGGTAAAAATTGAACCCATTTAAAAGAAGAGCAAAATAATCTAAAAATAACTGATTTAATTCAACTTTTTATTTTTTTTCTTTTGGTCCAGTGATAATATTTTTCCTGGGAACAAAAAAAAAAATCTGCTTTTAGTTCCAAATAGTCCATCTAGATCCAACAATGCACTACTCTTGTCACTACACAGCGTTTGCTGCACACTTAGTACCCACACTGACAAAATTAACTTTATTCCCATCATCACAAGATTAAAATAGGAACCCTAAACTAGAAGGTAGTGATCACTGGATACAGGAATAAAAGTATCTAAACAACTGAAGCCAAAAATATTCTAGTCTCAACTATCTAGATATTTGGGCAAGAGCCATGTAGACATACCGTCTTAGAAATTCACAGATTCAGATCTAGCCTGGTCGATTTTGCCATTTTAATAGGTCTGAGTACAGTACTGGTATTGACTATGAATCATAGACTTCACTTAGTAACAGTTCAATGGCCCATCTGAAAACTTGTATAAGCATTCTGAAGGTAGTACACTTGTCACAAATGAAATTTGAAGCATATCCTGCTAGCATTACAGTACTTCTTTGAAATGAAGATTTTGAAAGATTATAAGAACAAGGCAAGGCACATTAACTCAAATGCAGGTTCCCTCCCTCTTCTCAGGAACCACATAAATCTAAAATGCTAGGGCTAAAGCTGCCCCCTCCTCTGTTTTGTTTTGTTTTGTTTTTTTGACAATAGTAATGTCTCCTGAGATCATCTAATGATTTTTTTTTCCTATTTACTACCAATACATTACTTCAGTAACATGTAGGAAGCAGATATCCTACAGAGAGATAAACAAAGCATTCTCTTTTAAAAATCTTATGTTTAAGTTTAAAAATAAGGGCATTTAGGTTAAGTATGCTTAAATGTCATGGTAAAAGCAAACACAATTTTATTTCAAGTTAAATAGTTTTAAAAAGGAAGTGAGAAGTACTCTCCATTGTTCAGACCAAAAAAATGATCTTGAAGAATGAGTAGGTATTTGGAAAAAACGCTATGACAAACTACTATAGTTCATGCACAATCAGGAAAAATAATTCTATACCAATACTTCAGAATACCGGTAACCTAACAGAAAACCGGAAACCTAACAGTTTTTACTGTTACATACATACATAACAAACATAGACTACAAAAGGGAAAACATCAAGAGTAACTACACTTATCCATTTGCATTATACTAAGATAATGCTCTAAAACTTCTAGAAACAGCAACCCTTCATAACTATTTATATAAAATTAATTTGCAACATTTGTGTCCTAATGATTTTTCTAGAGACAAGTCAGAAACAACCAAATTCAAATTCAACCTCAATTCATTAGAATAATAAATAGGTCATAAATTCAACATCTACCACGCACAATATTTTTAAAAAGCAATTAATACATGCCCTGTGCTATTGTCTTTAACCCTCATCCTTAACATACTCTATCCAATAGACCACTAGTATAAGCAGATATATTTCCCCTTAGAAACTTCTAGCTCCTTGCAAAGACAGTAGCTATTCTTGCAAAACTTTAGAACTCTATGTGGATACATGTTTAGCTACTATAAACAGAGCTGAGAAACAACATAGTGACATATAACCTGATTATATGTATAATAATAAAAGGGAAAAGCCAACACCACATGATTTCACATAATATATACCCAATCATACCATTTCTTTGGAATTAAACAGGAAAAGCAACTCATCAGCAACATAAGAACTGGGGAGAATACAGCAGAAGTTAAAAAAAAGGAAACGAAACGAAAGGATACAGCCTTAATGCACCAGTCTGAGTGCCCACTGCCAGGATCTTCTGCACAGGATCAAAGGCCAGAGCTGACGGCTGATAGGGAAATCCATGGCGAACAGTCTAGGGATGAGTAAGTGACATCACAGCAACCGAGGGAGCAAGTGAAAATTAAAAACAGAAGTCAGTAGAGGCATTAGAATCTAGAAACAATTATAACTGATGCAAAACACATATACACACACTTACTGCTTTAAAAAAAAAAAACTATGAAATCTACATTAACAAATAAAACTTATTCACATAGAACCCGAAACAACAAAAATCGATCCCAGTGTTACACTTTCATTTCTGCTCTTCTGTAATGCTGGTACTATATAAAAGAAAATTTCTTCCTAATATTCTATACTATCATGTCTGACACCAAATTACTCAAGTTTGCAATGGTCAAAAATTCTGCAAATTCATTTAAAAATGCCATTCATGCTTTATTTCAAGTGTGACAACTTCGTTACTTCATTTGGACGCTGAATTCAAGTCCTTCGAAGGAAAAGCTGTCATATAATGACTTTAGTCAAGGATTCAGTAAAGCAATCATCAAACATCTATCCCAACGTTTTGCAACTGTAACAGCATGAAAATAGGGACAACATGTATGTTTGTACTTTGCTATTAAATCCTTAATATTTTTAGGGCATTAGGACAAAAAAGTGTACGTACACACTGTTAATAAATTCTGACATATGAACGCACGGTAGTTAGGAGGAGGGCAGGTTTTCATAAGCAGACAAGTTTGTATTTCTCGTTGAGCAGCCGGTGAGTTAATTCGCTGCATCATTCTTTCTGAATTACAGATCGCCACGGCAACGGACGTGCCCCCAGCAGGTAAAAATCACCGGACTTTTTACCCAAACATAATGATAAAAGGACCCTGTGATGCCACATGTTAAGCCTCCTACCCCGTTTTCAGGTAGAAGCGATGAGCAAAGATCTGGCTGAACAGGTTTGGCTTTCGGATAAACAACATCCATCAGACGCTGTTTCCAAGGGAAACTTCGAAGCGGGGGAATGATATGAAAACGCTTGAATACAAAAAGCCACCAGATTGTTAGGAATAGGAATTAAAGGTCAGTAGCACGCGTTCAAGGCAACCTTGAAACGACGGCTGCATCCGAAAAGGGGAGGAAAGAAAAAAAAAACATACAACGAAAAGGGGCAGATGATGTCAATCTCCAAAATACCGCGCCGAGCAAACGTGTGCTCGAGCAGCGGCGAGCCCCTCAGCCGCGGTACGCTCCTGAGCGGCGCCCTATGCCTCGCACGCCCCTGTGAGGCCCGCGGGGCGCCCCAAAACGGCCCCGGTCTTGGGGGCGCGCGCCCCGCTCACCTTGCAGAGCTGGAAGTGCTCGGACTGGAGCGTCTCCTGGACCTCGGGCTCCCGGGTCCCAGGCGGGTGCTGCTGCTGCTGCTGGGCGGCCGACGACGAGCCGGCGGTCAGGCCGTCCAGCACCTTCCTGATGTTGAATTTCCTCATGGTCTCGACGGGGCGCCCCCGCGGGTCCCCGGGCGGGGGCACCGAGCCCGGGCCGGGGACAGCTGCGCGCGGGGTCACCCGCGGAGGAGCGGGAGCGCGGGTGGCGGGAGGCGGCTGGGGAGAAGCACAAGCCGATCCAGACAGGAAATCCTGCGACGACGACGACGACGACGAGAGCGCGGGGACC